TATTTGCCTTTTTTTTCATCAACATTAGGTTCACTTATTTAAAAAATTTAGTAGTGTAACTATGAATCATGCATTACCTATTGTGTGCTACCTTTTGTTTACCTCAGGGGATTTAGAAAAAATCATGTTGCGACAGTTGCATGTGTATTGAGACAACTACAGAGGGAAATTTTAGAGCTTTCTTTGTCCTTTTAAGTTTTCCTTAATTGTTACAGTTTTGCCATTCATTTCTAGCCCTTGTTGACGTACCTCAAATTTGATTCCTTGTTTCAGTAGTCTCTATATTTGCTCTTAAAGATGTTTGCTTTGGCGATGAAAAGATTGCCCAGATTTTAGTAGTTTCAGTACCCTTGCTAGGTATTTGCTAACTATGCTTAAAGACTGTTATGCTGATGCAGTCTTTTATTTGTGGTATTGATGCAGTATCAGATGTAAGAGTTTGAGAACTTTCTTTGTCCTTTTTCTTAATTGTTTTGGTTTTGCCATTCATTTTCAGTCCTTGCTTCCTTGCCTTTTATTTGACACCTAGTTTCAAATTCGATGGTCTCCATGTGTGCCCTTAAATATGCCTGCTTTGGCCATGGACAGATTGACTCGATTTCCGAAGGTGACTTCTTAGTTGGTTACAGTTGAGTACTCTCTTGATGTTTTTATTATATCAATGATTTTCTTTTTGGGGGGGGGGGTGAAATATAAGGGCTTGCTAATAATACTTAGAGGCTGGATGCAGTATTTTTAACTTGTGGTATTGAGATAATATATGATTTTACACAGTAAAAAACATTTGCAAATCTATTAAGTTGCTTGTTAGAAACAAAGTTGATAATGTGTATGATTCAAGAAGTAGTGAATTTTTTGTTTGATTGACCAATTTTTGTATCTGAGTTTCATTTTGCTCTAGTTAGCAATTTAATTTGAAGTTCATTTGAAACTTTCTCATAGACCTATTTGATGTTATGGATTATAATTCTTGAGTGTTATTTTATGCATGGGATTTAATCATCAATGATCTTTCACAGGAAAGTGAAACGGATTTCCAAAAGGAACGGTTGGGTGTCAAGAATATGGATGCCTCTTTATAGAGTGCAGTGCAAAAACTTGAGTGAATGTAGAACAATGCTATGACGAGCTTGTCTTAAAGGTAACTAAAATCCAGTGTACTTTATTCTATAATTGATATAGCCTGATATTTTTATTAGATAGCCCTGCCTTGAGACAAATGTATATGTTTGTTTGGATACAAGAGAAGCATGGAAGCTAATTAAAGCCTTTGAATTTGGATAATTTAGCTGTTGATATACTGATATACTCCTGTTCCTGTTTTACTTCTGAGACTTCAATTAATACCATATAATGTGTCTGCATAATCCTAGATAATGTACTAATTTTCTCTGTTACAAACTTACCTCAAATAAATGCACAAAGTGCATTTTGGTTAACGTGTATAATTGAAGGGAAATATGCAGTATTCTAACATGATTAAAGATCAGCATACAAATTTGTTTTTGCCTATGTAATTATTTTGATCATGCAAAGAACTATTTTTGACATTCAAGTGTTGGGACATGTATAACTGCTAATATCACTGAATCATTTGATTCATAGTAAAATTGTTAGAATCTTTCAGCATTTTTTTGGGCATGGATAGAGTATCAGTTTTCTCTGGCATATGGGTTACCTTTTAGTGGTTGTGGGTGAGACTTTATGTTGTTTAAACTCATCAAAATGGGTTTTGAATTTATCTTTTAATTTGTAGGGATAGTCTAGGGTTGAGATGGAAAGATTATGTCCTTCCTAGCTAGAATTTGATGCTCTAAGAACTGTGGTTGCCTATCTGAATTACTACATGGCTATTTGCGATAGGCTGAGACAAGGCACAATGCGGCTTAAGGTTGGATTGTTTTCATCATCACCATGTCCTCCCATTTTCAAATATGTGAAAGGAAATTAATTACAAATGCCTTGCCACAATTCTTCGATGTTCTTTCTATGTTAAAAGTCTGTAATTTGCATAACATAAACTAGTAGATTATTTTAAGGAATCAGCACCTTAACCTAGGTTATTAAATCTTAGGCTTAGATTATTAAATCCTAGAACCATATACTAACAGGAAGAATCAAGCATATCATGCCCAATCCATTTTGCATGAACAAATTAAATCTAACATTTGAATTCTATTGTCTCGCAGATAAAAGCCACCTACAAAATTTTGAGGGATGCAAGAAAGTACTTCATGGTGCAGAAGTTATTATAAGTTGTGATAAAGTACTTAGTTGAAATTGACCAAATCACAAGTTCTTAAACTGGATTAGGGGGGTTAAAAGTCAAATACCTCCTTTAAAAAAAAAAAAAAAAAAAAAAACAAAACAAAACTTGATTACAGAGGAGGTAGGTTCTCCAAGTAAATTGCAAATAAGAGGATCTCCACCAAAGCCTGAAGGTTAAATACACTGCCTTTGAATTCTATTGCCTTGTAAATAAAAGACTCGTACGAAATTTTGTAGGATATAAGTAAGTACTTCCTACTGCAAAATTTGTTTTAAGGCATGATAAAGTGCTCGAAAATGTATGAAAGTTATATCAAATAATAGCACTTCTTATATTTTATTTCCTTATATCTTTAAAACACACAACAAATTTCAATACATATTATTTATCTAATTTGTCATGTTATCTACAAAAGAGAAAATCTGACCAAATATTAATTTCATATCAATATAAACTGTGATTCTACACCACCAAAAGCACATACTAGATGGAATAAAAGTAGTGGATTGCAAAAGTTTTAATCAAAATATTCGGATATTTATGTTATAAAAAATCATTTAATTAAATTTTCTTTAAACATTTTGATATACATTTATGATATTACTGCAAAGAATTTGGTGTTAGCAGACTGCAAAACACCAATTATTGAATGAAGGGCATTTCTTTTATTATTAGGAGGTCTCTCTTAATATAATGATTTGTATTTTGTAATCTGGTATAATATCAATCTATAAAACACTGTTTTGTACTACCAATTACAATTTCATTTTCAACATCTGAGTTCAGTTATTATATATTAAGTTTTTATATCCTGTTGAACAAGAAGAATGGCATTGGAAAACAAGAAAAATATGAAAGAGCAATGAACAAAATTAGTTCCATAAATACCGTGTAAATATAAGGGCATGACGTCCTCCCTTGCCTGTTTTCTTGACTTCTTCCCACTTCACTAACCTGCACACACCACTTTTTCTTGCTTTTGTTTTTTTAGTAGATCGATGGTTAACTCCTTAGCATAACAAAGGTTTAAATCTATAATTTTAATTTAAAATCAAAATTTTTAAGTTAATGAGTACTAACTCAATCAAACTCTTGTTGGTTTTGCTTTTATTAGCTTCATCAGCATCATCAACCTTGCATTAGACTAAATTTGGTAGGTATTTCTAATCAACGGTAATCGATTTTCCCAGTTGTTTGACCAGAGTTGGTATCCTGCCATTACCGTTGATCAATCATAAGTTATTGAGGTCAATTAAGCGTGTCTATAATACGTAACGAAACACATCTATTTGGCCCAAAATGCAACAGAACATATTTGGGTTTGGAATAATTTGGCCCAAATGTAACAGAACCAAGCAATATGATTGGATTTGGATGCATCCCACCCGTTAGGTTTTTACAATTCCAATGGTTGGGACGATCGAACCATTTCGTGGCGTGTTCCAAGGAAATTGCCACATCTATGAGACGTCAGAGATTCTGATCCAGATGAGAGAGTACATTCTAAAGGCTTCGGTTGTGTCAGGGTTGTCACCGAGAACTCGACGAATCGTCACTCCAGATAAGTTACCGCTTAGGATGGCCATTTCTTCCAAATTTGGTCGTGGGAATAAGGATTCGAAAAATATTTTTTATAAGATAGGGATAGCATTTTTTAATAAAATTTCATATGAAATTTTTTTCTATCATGTGAGGACTTGTGGAAATCCGTATGTTATAAAAAAATATATAAATTCATCTATATATAAAAATAAATTAAGATATTTTAATTTTTTAATAAGATTTTATTAAAATGGCAAAATTTAAGTGTTTTTTTTTGCATAATTTTTTAAATAAAAACTGATCCTCATTGTTTTCATTTTTTAAAGAGATTAGTAAATATAACAAACAATCTATTAGGGTAAGTGGAATAAATTTAATTCTTTTTAAATAAAATTTTGAATTCAAATTTTATAAGGAGATAAATAAGTGCTGAGAGAACTTTTCTTTATAGGGATACAGAACAAAAAAAAAAAAGATTAGTGAATATTAATCAATATTATAAAGAATAAAAAGAAAAATATTTTAAAATTATATAATTTTAATAAAATAGCATAAGACTAAAACAACCTTATTTTTAATTTAAAAATTAAGATATTTTAGTTTTATT